GGTGTTATCAGTGTGCTGATGACACCCAAATTTACTTCTCTATGTCTCGGATTGTTTCAGTGACCAAAGAGGGCATCTCCCCTCTGAATGACTGCCTGAGGTCAGTAATGGCTTGGATGAAGGAAAATAGACTTAAGCTGAATCCAAACAAAATGGAGGTACTTGTGATAGGTAACCCTAATCCAGGTATGGAGATAAATTCACCAGTCCTGGATGGGGTCACTTCCCCTAAAGCACTGTGTTTGCAGTTTGGGGGTGCTCTTCAACTCGTTGCTCCAACTGTCACCTCAGATTGATGTGACGGCTAAGAGTGCCTGTTATCAGATGATACACCAGCTGCAACCCTACTTGGAGCCACAGGACCTAGAAACAGTTGTACATGCACTGGTAAGTTCTCATTTCAACTTCTGTAATGCGCTGTACATGGGGCAACCCTTGTGCCACCCGGAAGCTTCAACTGGTACAACACATCACAGCCAGACTGGTCACAGGTAAATCTAGGTTCGACCGGATTAACATCTATTTTGAAATCCTTACACTGGCTATGTGTTAGGTTCTGGGCACAGTACAAGGTGTTGGTTATTACCTATAAAGCCCTTCATGGCTTGGGTCCAGCTTACTTGAAGGAACACCTCCTCCCATATAATCCTTCCCACACAATCAGGTCCTTTAGGAGGAACTTACTACAGTCAATGAAAACTGGTGGTGACTTCCCAGAAGACCTTTTCAGCTGCCGTTCCTAAAATTTGGAATGACCTGCCAGAGGAGACTCGCCAGATTACATCCCTTGATATTTTTTAAAAAGTGTAAAAACGATTCTCTTCCAGCAGGCCTTCCCAGACTGACCTCTGTCCTGATCTGAACTAACTGCCCATTTGATCTAACTCCCCTAGACATTGCCACTGTTATTGAAGGGAGGGTGGGTCGAAGGGGTGGGGTGGGGTTGGGGATTATTTTCTTATTATTATTTCTGTAATTCTTTTAATCTTTGCTGTTACCTGCCTTGATCCTCAACAGGGAGAGGTGGGATACAAATTATTATTATTGTTGTTGTTGTTATTTATTATTATTATTATTATTATTATTATTATTATTATTATTATTATTATTATTATCATTATCATTATTTGAGAACCAGAGAAACTATGGTCTGAAGCCAGGGACATAATAAAAGAAGACAGACAGACGCTTTCAACAAACAGAAAGAAAGAGGGGGAAAACATGGATGACAGAAAAAACACAACAAGCAATAAAGAAAATAAGAGAAAAAAGCAAACAGGAGATAGGAACAAACTAAGAAATATGAATGCAATAGTACAATGGCTTGTGCAGAAAGGTAAAGAAAATTACTACAATGACCAAAGCAGAGAAATAGAAGACAACAAGAAAAAGGGAAGAACAAGAGATCTATTTCACAAGATCCAGGAAATGAAAGGAAAATTCAAACCAAGGACTGGGATGCTCTATGACAATAAAAATAACATAATTCAAGACCAGGAAGGAATAAAAAGATGTCATATGCCATGCACAGAAGAATTATATAAAAAAGATG